TTTCCCTTTCACAGTATCTATTGTACCTTTGAGATTTTATTTACTGCTTCAGGTTTTCACACTAGTGAGACAGTACAATACTTGTATATGTGGGTCTGATTTATTTCACTACCAATAGTCTTTATTTGCATCCATTTATGTACAAAAGCTTTGAATTTTCATCTTTTTATAGCTGAGTAGTACTCCATTGTGTAAAAAGTACCATATTAAAAAAAAAATCCCTCTGCCTTTAGGGGTCTGCCCCTTAGCTCAGTTCTTTAAGTGGCTGCTCCAACAAAGCATTCAGGCTCAGTTTGCTGTGGTTCGATCCCCACAACTCAAGCCAGCCAAACCTGCCCTGAAGGCATTCGAAGCAAAAAAAAAAAAAAGTACCATATATTTTTAATCCATTCCTCAGTTGATGGTCATTTGAGTTGTTTCCAAGAGATTTCTGTAAAGAAACTGAATTAAAAGGTCATACAAACAATGCAAACACAAAGGAAAAAGAAAACCACCAAAATTACAGATCTGTGGCCCCCCCAAAAGAGGCTGGAGGGTGGCTTAAGCAAATCAAGAGGTTGGGATCCTACTATATTCAACATCCAAAGTTAAAGGAGGAAATTTTCATTTTGTCTCATAGTTTGTGGCAGTTTTAGTCCATAGTTTGCTTACTCTAAGCCAGGTTGGCATGGCAGAAGGCACCCCAGAGGTGTTCATGGCAGGCAAGGAGACAGGCACACAGCAGGCAGCAGCTGGAGCAAGGTTGCCTTCTTTTTTCCCTTCCAGGCTACCCACCTTTTGGGTGGCACTACCCACGCCCCAAGGTGAAGCATTGTAGTCTCAGCATTTACGGCCTAGATCCAGCTGCCCCTGGACAGCCGGAGGCTTTTAGGAACAGTGGGGGCATCTAGATAAAAGGAATCACAGCTTGCAATGTCAAATTTATCAAAAAAACTTAGTGTTGCTAGCAGTAAGAACAAATTTTCGGCGCTTAGAAAAGGAACCAGGTGTGAAAAAGCAGTTTTATTACACAAGAGTTAAAAGACTCAGTTGCTGAACATGAGTTTCACCTGCAGAAAAAGAATGCAGATTTTAGGGATGTGGATCAAGTTGAGGTGCCCTTCCTTTCACCTGTTGTCTGTTGGGTCTGATGGTAGGATTCAAAGACAGTGACTCCTGTGGGTGTTACTGGTATGTTATAGATAATGTCAAAAGTATGAGTTGGAGACATTGTTAGGTATCTACACGCAGATTTTCCTTTGACTCAGACAGGCATTAATTAGACTGTTGGTCAAGAAACACAAAAAGAAAGAAAGAAATGATGGGAGGGGGGAAATCAACAGAAATGGTGTTTTTTTACTTGGTTAATTAGACAAGAGGCTAATCTGCTCAGAACATGCATCTGTGTATAAAAGGGTAATGAAGTTGTGTGTAGTACTTTCTAAAAATTTAAATTCTAAAGGTTGTGACAGGTTATCTCTGTGTAGTGTCTGCCAGTGGCCCCAATTTAGTACCTGCACCAAATTAAAACCACTTTCTTGCTCTGAATTTCTTTCCTTGTTTTGTTTTTTTTTTAAATGTATTTAGTACAGGGTCTGCAGGATCTCACTACACAGATCAGACTCCTAGTGATCCTCCTGTTTTCTGCTTCCTAAGCATTGGGATTACAGGTGTGAGCCACCACACCCAGTCTCAGTGAGTAGTATCTCAGCTTGCCCCTGGGGGTGGGGCCAGCACTGTGTGGCATGCTGGGAATTAAACCCCCAGTCCCTGCATCTGCCTAAACAGGAGCTTTAATCCTTTGAGCTATCTGGCCGGCCCTGAATTTTCTTTTAAAGCAAAATTATTTCCTGCTAAATCAATGTGGAGACTCCTTAAGAAACTAGGACTGGAAATCCCACTCAAGCCAGCTATCCCCCTACTGAGAATTTTCCCGGAGGAACTGAAAATGTCATATAGTGATATATGTGTACCTATGTTTATACCAGCACAATTTGTGATACACAAAATTTCCAAATCTTAGAAACAACCAAGATGCCTATCTCATGAGGAATGGATGAAAAAGAAGTTGTATTTTTATACAATGGAGTATTACTCAGCTATAAAGAATGAAAAACTCGAAGCATTTATATTTGAGTGGCTGCCACTTGAAGATATACTCATAAGTGAAATAAACCAGACCCACATGTATAAATATCATATAGTCTCCCTAGTATAAGAAATCAAAAGAAGAAATACAAATAGGTATAACACAACTAAAAGGAAAGCGAGAACTTGAGGATTGGACAACAAGGAGAGGGTGAGAAAAGCTGGGAAACAGGACAGGGACAAAGCCATACACTTGTATGTACAAGATGGGCAAGGCAATGATCCTGAGAAACATCAGAAGGTTTTTGAAACTAGCGGTTAATTGATAGGATTCACACCTGATACCTGTGAACCAAGCAACTGCACTGAAGACAGCAATGTGTAATAGAAGGGTCACGCTTGGAATGCCTGTCATTCTGGTCTTCTAAATACATGCTTCTTGTCATGACATACCAATTATTACCATACTGTCTCACAAGTAAAAGGTCTTTTTTTTTTTCTTTTTTTAAATGGATAATAAATGAATAAAAAAACACAAGAAAAAGAAAAAAAAATGTCACAGGACTGTCCTGCTACAATGCTGTATATGGTTAGATTTCTAAATTTTTCTGTAAAATATGTGTTTATTACTATTATTAATTTTTTTTCTTCATATTCTATAAACACTTAAATTTCAACACATCAGTACTTGATGGAAGATACCTGTTCCACGTTATGCCTAAGATGTTCGATACTTAGAGTAAACCGAACTGCAAATTTGCAGGATAATAATAAGCTTCTCTTCTGGAGGGTTAACAACCTAAGTTAGCAGTTCAAAAATTGGAGAAAAGGAAGGGCTTCAAGGTCAGCCAACATTTTGGCTCTATCCTTTCAAGGTCATGGAAGACTCAGGACATAGGATAACCTGTACTGTAACATCATGTAACTCGGTTGTGCCCCAAATTTTCTGATCAAGGAGATTATGGAGCCACAGAGGAATGTGATCGATGATGTGTAGTGTGCCTAAGGAGAGTTACATGGAGAGAAAACTTTCTCTCAGGCTTTCACAGAGAGCACATTGGTCAAGCAATGGCCATGACTCATCCACATGGTTGACACTGGACAAAGGATCTACAAAGTGCAGTACAGGATTACAGGATAAATCCTGAGGGGACTTGACTGACCTTATCAGATACAAAAGCTACAACTCTTGTTGCATAGGTCTTCCTTTATCTTGATCTTAACCATCCAGCAGAAAAGTATAAAAATGTATATAAAGTAAAGCCATATTAATATGCTGAGCTGTAAAAGGCTGTAGTTAATGTCTGCTGATAACCCACTACTATTGTGGACTACTGGATTGTGTTGGATTGTTTTGCTGAATTCAGGCACCTATGATATTTAGATGCCAATAGAATACCCGTCTCTGATAGGACTGAACTGGAGAGGGGGAATACAGAGGAAGGACCGTTTTGTATTTGTGTATGCAGAATAGTTAGGATAGATGTATGGCTGCTTTCGCTTGGTTCAGTGAAAGGAAGGTTTTGTAGTAGTAATGTTTGGACGGGATGTCCTGGCTGCTTCTTGTGCTGTGGATGACTGCTGAGAAGATAACAATGTACAATGTATTAATTATTGAAAATGTCCTATTAATCAGCCTTGAAACTGTCTCATTGATACTTGTTTCTCAATAAAATAATAATAAATAAAATTATTTCCTACTGTTTATATGGATTCTTCTACTTTAAGGTAGTATAGTGGTTCTTCTGGAGCTGGTGACTATAAGATGTGGTATTTGATTACATAGAAATTTTATACTTGTTTTCCTTAGACTGCATAATCAGGATCATCTTCTTACTGATGACATGACATGGCTTTATCACCGTAACCCATTAAAGACAGACAGACAGCTATATTTTTGGCATACAGGCAGACCAAGCATAACATGCATTTTTAAATATTGATTTTTGTTACCTAACTTGTGTATGGAATGAATCATTAGGAGTTTTCAAAAAATTACTAGTGTATTTCCATAATGGTGGCAAGTGTTTTTTAAGCATATAATATGTGAGTGTGCTGCTCCTGTGTGATCTGTTCTGAATTAATTGTGACAAGCTTCTTGAGCTAATGTTTTCCTTCTGACCAGTGGGGTAGACTGCACATTATTTTTGATGGCCTTTTAAAGACTTGTGGGCTGTCATTGTTCCTTTAAGTCAGATGGCATGTGTCAGCTTTTCCTGGAGAAATGGGGGGGGTGCCTTAATAAAGCTTGGTGTGATTTCTTATGAGGTTCTTCTCTACATAAATTAGTATGCATGTAAATTTTTCATAGATCTTTGGGTATTTTCTCACTTGGGAAGATTTTTGCAGCATTGGTATATCATGGGGAATTCTTTGGAATTATGTAGTAGCTTTGGGAATTATGCAGTAGCAGGTGATCACTAACTAGGTTATATAAAACTAATACTATTTTTCAGGTTAAATTGAATGGAAAATGCTTAGACAAGGAATGAGTGTCTATTTTATATTAAGCTGCTTACAATGAGGATCTGAGTCAATGGTGATGGATAAACCATAGGGTCTAGGTACTTAGGGAACCCTGAAAACTGTCATGATCCCCAGTCAGCTAAGAACATCCTTTTCTGTGTTAGCATCATCATTTGAGCTCTGACTCTTTGATAATGTAGTTAATCATACCCTAAATTTATTTTTTTTCTTTTCACAAGAAGTACAAGTATTTGTTTAATACTAGAGCATTTGTTTACCTTTTATTCTGATTGAATCCTGAACCACTGATCTTAGTGAAACTTTTTCTTTTATCTATGTATCCAGAATTCTAAGGATTTGTGTTATGAATTTGAGCATTTGATAAACTAACTTCTCTGTTTTCTGGTTTTCTTGATAGTGAATTTTAAAAATACTGGATGACTTATCAAAATTTTCATTTCTTCAAGGTGTTGATTTCAAGGTGAAAACAATTTCAGTGGATGGAAATAAGGCTAAACTTGCAATATGGGTAAGAGCTTTTAAAATATATTTTTATAAGTATTAAACTTGTATGTCTTATGGAAGCAGAAAGTGACTTACTTAGTGAGGCAGAAGTGAATAAACAATTTATATTAAATACTTTTGGGATACTTGATGTCCACTAAGAGACACACTATGTAGTTATATGTATCGTATACTGGCTAAATAGGCAGAGACTTGATTCATTTAAATTTTTGGAACGTATTTTCTCCTCAGAACATTTTTAAAACTAGGGAATTAAAAAATATCATACAGTCTGCAGAGAAAATCATTGGTGGTAGACATGTTCCATCAGTTTTAAGAAGACCGCCTGAACCAACACTGAATTGTTGAGGGGAACTGAAAGGAAGTAGATACTTAGGAAAATAATTATTTTTCCACTTTTTTAGTATAGATAATCATAAAATTTGAGTTTGCCAACTTTTTCTTTTTTTTTTTTGTATTTAGTACAGGGTCTACAGGATCTCACTACATAGATCGGACTCATAGTGATCCTCCTGTTTATAGCCTCCCAAGCGCGGGGATTATAGGCACGTGCCACCATACCCAGTCTCAATCGCTGCCTCAGCACACCCTGGGGGCAGGGCCAGGGCTGGCATGGCAGGCCCAGGGATTGAACTCCCAGCCCCTGCATCTGCCTAAAGCAGGTGCTTTAGTCAGTTGAGCTACTTGGCTGGCCCATGAGTTTGCCAACTTTTAATACTTTCTCTTCCTTTATCTTTGTTTCATTTCTTTCTTTCTTTCTTCTTTTTTTGGTGGAACTGAGGATTAAACTGAAGCCCTTGTGTTTGCTAGGGAAATGCTTATTCCACTGAGCCATCTCCCTGGCCCCCTAAAAAACGCAGAAGGATTTTTTTTTTTTTTTTTTCCACTCAGAATGCCTTCAGGGCAGGTCTGGTTGGCGAAAGTTGTGGGGATTGAACCACAGCATCGTAGCCTGACTGTTGCGTTTAGGCAGGCACTTAAACAACTGAGCTAATGGGGAGGTCCCCTGTTTCATTTCTTTGTGAATCCTACAATTGTGATCCACATAGCTCTGTAAACTAGATCTCTTCATGCTAGTGCTGAATAAGGTGACATTAAATATCAAAACATCCAAGAGGCTTAATGTCAGTCTCTCAATTTCTCTAAATATGATTGCTGATGTATATTTATAAAAATATATACCTAAATTTTACATACGCCATGATAAATATGTCTTTTTTTTCAGCTACTTTCTCTTAGTTTATTTTTTTCCTTAATTTTATTGACAGACAAATAGCAGTGAGACAGTTTCAAATCAGATTGGTAGGACAGTTCCAATAATTAACACATTGCATATTGTCTTCCTAGTGGTTATTTGCTGTACAAGATGCAGATATGATATCCTATTTACAAACACTATTACAACAAATCCCTCTATTCATTAAGAGAAATGTAACTATATATCTATCCTAACCATTTTGAATACACAGATGCAAAATGGACATTCATTTATATATCCCTTTTTTTGTTTAGTTCCGTCATTTGAATATTATAGGTGTGTTAACTCAGCAAAATATTGTAAAAGAGTCCAGTAGTCCATAATAGTACTGGTCTTCCGCTTGACTGGCAGTGTCAGAAATTGTTGACCTGAGTCCCCTGCAGCTCAACATAACAGCATGGTTTTACTTCTTGTACTTCGTTTTTATACTTTTCTGCTGGATGGTTAAGACCAAGATAAAGCAAGACCTATGCAACAAGAGTTGTAGCTTTTGGATCTGATAAGGTCAGTGAAATCCCCTCAGGATTTATCCTGAGATCCTGTACCTCAGATTGTAGAACCTTTGTCAGTGTCAGCCATGTGGATGAGTCACGACCATTGCTTGGCCAACGTGCTTCCCGTGAAAACCTGAGAGAATTTTTTTCTCTCCATGTGACTCTCCTTAGGCACACTCTACATCATCTATCACATTCCTCTGTGGCTCCATAATCTCCTTGATCAGAAAATTTGGGACACTACTGAGTTATGTGATATTACAGTACAAGATCTCATATGTCCTGAGTCTTAATTGACCTTGGAAGGCTAGGGCCAAAATGTTGGCTTTCCTTGTGGCCCACCTTTTTCTCTAATTTTGGTCTGCAAATTTAGGTTGTTAACCATCCAGAAGACAAGCTTATTGTTATTATCATACAACCTAGGCTGTTAAGCTTAACCTCACTATCTGTCAGAACATCTAACATCTTAGAGATAACATGGAACAAGTTAAGTATGTCTTATAACATGATAAATATTAGAATTGATTAGTTTTCACCAAATAGGGATATACTTCTCTACATGGTGGTTAAGTGGTAAATGCTGCCTGTATGTCAGTAAGTGAAAAAAGTGAGTGTTCATGGTTTATATAATGATGTCAAATTGCTTAAACTAAGCTTAAACTTTTGATCCTCCTGCCTCAGTTTCCTGAAGTGCTGGGATATAGGCATAGGCTACCACATCTGCTTAATGTGTTATGATTATTAATTTATTTGCCCCTTGTGCTTATATATAGTAAACATCATTCAGAACAGTTAGTGTTCTCACAGAGAAATTTTGGAAAATGTTGGGCTAGTCAGTAGTTAAATATATTGAAGAGTTTAAGGATATCAGCTTTTGTACTAAAGTGGAGACCTGGTTTTCCATGTTATTTTTTTATGTTTAATTTATTGTCTTTCTATGTCCTTGCTGTTGCTTTGTGGAATATAAAAATTAGAGTAGGATCTCAGATGTAATGGTTGCACTGTCTTTTTTTCTGTTATATAAGAATTATTTTTAAGTTTGCTTCTTCTTGCCTAATGAAAATGCTGGTTGATACTAGGCTTACAGTTTTTTCAAAAAGAAAATTTTTCCTGGACAGTAAGACTAATACTGGTTGATGCATTAAATGATAACTAAGACAATAAGAAAGCAACAGAGAAAACATTTGTCATTAATAAGTGTATACTTTTTAGTAAATATTCTTTAAGATATTTATTTACATTTATGCATACTACTGTACATATGTGTATGTATGTGGTTTTCCAAAAGAGATGTTTCACAAAATGTGCTGTTTTCTGTGTCAATAAATACAGATATCAATTTAATAGCCACCTACTATTCTTTTTATGGCTATCTTGTAATTTAGTCAACTCACTTGAGAGAGAGAGATACTTAAATTGATACTAGGTTTTCACAAAAATAAGCAGTGCTCTGGTGAGCTTCCTAATTACACTCTCCTGTGGATAGTTGTGTGATTACTTCAGAGCTATACCTAGAACTAGAAGTGTTGCTTTAAAGAGTGTGAGCATTTAATATGGATACACTTGAAAATACTTGTTTTTCAGTTTTTACTTCCACCAGACAGTTTTCTTATTCTCTTATACCCTTTTTTTTTTTTTTCTTTTTCTTTTTGATGCTGGGGATAGAACTTGGGACCTTATGCTTGCCAGCCAGGTGCTTATGTCCTGAGCTATCGCCTTGGCCCCATATTCTCCTATACATTTGAAGTGGTACAGTAGTTACTATCACTGATTGTTTTTCATTTTTACTTTCTGAGTACTAATTTTTTACTTATTGTGTGCCTATCTTTTTTAGTTTGTATCGTAAATTTATTGGTCACATTTAAAAATACATTTTCCGGTCGGGGAGATGGCTCAGTGGAATAAGTGTTTCCCTGGCAAGCACAAGAGCCTGAGTTCAATTCCCAGTTCTGCAAATAAATAAATAAATAAATAAGTAAATAAAATTATTTCATCATTCATCCTTTAAAATCATTAATCTTGGGCTGGAGAGATGGCTCAGTGGTCTAAAGCACCTATTTAGAACAAGCTTAGCAAAAGCATCAGGGACCGCGGTTCAATCCCCCAG